TGTAGTGGACTTTTCAAAGGATTTGATCCATTGAGACCATTGATAAAAACAAACTCCACTCGACCACCAAGGGAAAGATCAGTGTTTACAAAAAGATTTTCAGCCATTGTTTTTGATAAGTGCTTTGGATGCCTATAAACAATTGTTGCTCTACTTACAGAATAAGATGAGTGCTAATATGAAAAATATAATGAAAAATTAATTTATATGGGTACTTACGCACGAAGAAATCGTATACTTGTCCCAAATTCCAGCTGCACGGAATATTAGCTAATTCAGTTCGATTTTCATTGCTACCATAACGACTTTCCAATCCAAGAGAGTAATTCGGTCCATTTTTATCTTGAATTATGTTCGGTGAGCAACTTAAAACGTGCATGTCGTTCACAGTTTGGGTTGCATGACTCCCTTTAGAATTTGCTTCATTTGTGATTTCATCAAAATTGAGGAAGTTTGAAGATGTGCAAGCTGCGCTGGAAACAAACATTGCGACTGGTTCTACCGGTTCCATGACATTAAGTTTTACTCTCTTGCTAAAACTCTCCTAGAACTAATACTATGTTATTATTTTGGGCTTGTATTTTAGGCGTTAGCAAAATTGTGTTGGACGAATCATCATTTTTCAACGCGTAGTTTTATGTCCATTTATTGGTGGACCAGACAAAATTTCAGCAGATAAAACGATTAGCTCACGTTGATTTAATATTGCAGGAGTATGTACAACGTATGCTGCAAAATGTTTATTATATTGTTGTATTTTTATTCGCTGACAAATAAGATGAACTGAGTCGCACTCCGTGAAAATAGCAACTTCAATTATTTCATAAACTAAAGCATTTTCAGCACAAATTTTGTCATCGTATTGAACAATGAAACAACCTTTTATATATTTCTTAGAGCGATAAATACATTGGGAATAGCAGCGAAAACTATTTATTTATTTATTTATCTTATTTCGAGCGCAGAAATTGTAAATTATTTCTTCATATTCTGAATGAAGAATAAGATGACTTGGAGAAATGGAATACATTCCTTCCTCGGGGTCAAGCAAAAACTTCGCAAATTTTAGTTGGTATTTTTTTTAAATGGATACACATATATTTCTTCGACTAGTAATGTTTCTAGCATATGCTTTGAAATCTTTATGTTTTGCTTCAAATGACCAATAATGACGGGTAGGACCAGATTATTATAGAAAATAATAATATTATAGAAAAATAATGCACCATAAAGTGGTGTTTCGGTTTAAGCGTGTCATTAAAAAACCGGACATAATTTTTGCGGTGCTTCGTTATAAGTGACTTTAGCCTTTCCGCCATTGGCTTCGAAATCTCATTTAAAAGAAGAATATCAATTATTTGGAGCAAATTAAAAAAAAACAAGTAAGAAAGTCTAAGTTCGGGCGGAGCCGAACATTAAATACCCGGCGCAAGTATTAAATATATGTTTTCCACCTTTCCGAAAGCTACCGCTACATGATAAGCCGGGGTGT